TTATATTTTGAGTACTGGTTTCACAGGTAATAATTTCTAGTAAGTGGTGAGAGCAGGAAAAGAGCGGGTACCAGTAATGTGTTTCCTAATGTTTGCTAAAGGAATAACATAGATCCTTGTACTGGAGGCAAAACCTTATTATTACAAGTATATTCATTCATATTTTTGTCCTATCCACTCACCTATATATCTCAGACTACAAAGTGTAATTCACTCAGTCATTTCTAAGTATCAGTGGCTGTTTTCTTACTATTTCTAGTGGCAGGAGTCTCTCAACCTCGCTGTGTGTGTCTGAGCGCTGAGTGTAGCAACAGAAGGCTCAGGAAATAAGGTAAAGAAAATTAAGAGCTGGCCACTCCCATCTAGGTCACCATCTTTATTGGTTTCCCAGAGCTGAAATAACAAACCGCCACATGCCAGGTAGCTTTAAACAACAGAAATTTATTCTCTCATAGTTCTAGAGGCTAGAAGTGTGGTATCAAGGTGTGGCCGAACCTCTCTGCCCCCACAGCCTCTGGGGGAGCATCCTTTCTTGCTTCTTCCATCTGGTGGCTCCTGGCATCCGTAGCCTGTGGCAGCAGAACTGCAGTCTTGGCTTCTCTATCTACAAGGCCTTCTTCCTGTGTCTCGCTGCCTCAAGTCTCTATCACCATTCTCTTCTAAGGTCACTAGTCATTCGTTGAATTTAGGGACAGGCCTAAATCCAGGATGAACTGAACTTCAGTTGCTCAAAATTAATTGCACCTGCAAAGACCTAATGTCCAAGTAAGTCACATTCATCACAGGTAAAGAATGTTAGGACTTGGAGGTAATTTTGGTGGGGGGGAGGGGTTGGAATAATTTAACCGCCTATACCGTCCAATAAAATGAAAGAGGGTTGTTCTGAAATTCCAAGGATTCAGTTTTTCCTGAAAAAAAAAAGAGAAAAGAAGTAGTTTATTCCTGGTATGTATGTACAGTACTCCCCTTTATTCTATGAGAAATACATTCCAAGACCCCCAGGGGATGCCTGAAACCTTAGCTAGTACCAAACCCTCTATATAGTCTGTTTTCCCCTATACAAAGATACTCATGATAAAGTCTAAACTACTTCTGTACTTTGGGGCCATTATTAAGTAAAATGGGGGTCCCTTGAACACAAGCACTTCAATATTATGACAGTGGATCTGATAACCGAGACGGCTACTAAGTGACTAAGAAGCCGGTAGTGACTATGGCTTGGATACTCTGGGCCAAGAGATGAATCATGTCCCTGGAAGGACAGAGAGTGGCAGTGGTAGATTTCATCAGAGCAGCATGCCATTTAAAACCTAGGAATTGTCTCTTGATGGAATCTTCCATTTAATGTTTCCAAACCGTGGTTGACCTTAGGTAACTGAAACTGAGGAAAACAAAACAGTCGAGAAGAGGGAGACTACTGTATGGAGGTTATGGGCAGCTAGGAGAGAAATTGTTGATGTAAAGTTTCCAGTATGCGAGGGATTATCCAGCGCGTTCTTCAGGGTTCTTTTCTACAACTAGGATTACTAGGTCAGAGGCAGACACATTGTTAGAGATTTTAATGCGTATTTGTACACCATCCTTCACTAACCTCTAACACTCCAAGGGTATTTGACAGTACTCACTTCATACTTTCAGCCATATTAGATAATATTATTCCTTAATATTTTACTTATTTCATATTTAAATAATGATAGTTTGCTTGTGTGCCTTGTTCTACTGTAATGGAAGGTGTAATTTTAATAACAGAAAATACGTTAAAACCATCAGAATTAAGTACTACAAGCATAGGTGTGCAACATTGATTTATTTAGTTAATTAAATCACACTTATAGAATATTTATAACCATAAATACCTACAAAACTATTTATGTTAGTTTTTTAATTTTCTTCAGTCCAGCGAACAGTGTATTTATTTGTGTTACGGTGCGCTGGGGAAGAGGTAACAGGAGGGGCAGGGCCTGGCTCCAGGAAAGCTGCAGAGGCGGCTTCTTGGCCTCAGGCATTTGAGCCAAGGTCTGAAGGAACAGCTCTAACAAAACACAGGGCCTCCAGGGTGGCTGGGTGCTGTGGGAGTTCGGGGGTGCTGTCCGAGAAGCCTTGGAACAGACAGGTCACGGTGGAGGACTAGCCCGGCGCCTGAGCTGCATGCTGCCCTCCACCCCCGGGGGCAGGCGCGCAGTGTCCCCAGGCGGCTCCCGCGTTGAGTGCTGCCTCACACAGGGTGGGAGGGCTGGTCTTGCCCTTGGCACTGCGGCGCATGCTCTGCAGACTGGGCAGCGGCCAACCACAGTGACGGAATTGTCCCGGTACCGGGTGACATTTCGACTGTGGACGTCCTAGATTCTGGGCTGGTGGGTGGATATCCCAGTGACGGGGTAGGGGGATGGCGCCGCAGCCTAAAGTCTACGGGAGTTATTTGAAAGGTATGTAGTATGGATCCGGCAGCATATTTTTATAAAAACAGCTTTTCTTTTTTGGAGCGCCCACTCATTACCAAAAATATTGTACAATATGAAAAAAGGAACAATAATTTAAAAACTCACACCAACACGTTATCATCATAAATAAACGCAAGGAGTTTAGACCTTGAGAGAGTTCCTTGTACAGTTCTGGCTTGTGTCTATGTATATGATGAAAAAGTTGAACAGTCCAAAATTACTTCATATTTACTTAATGCATTATAATTTGTAAATCGTTTTATTCATTTAGAGTTTCTTAAGATTCTATTGTGGGACAATTCATATAATAAATTACTTGTTGGAGACTTAGTAATAAAATTTTAAAATAGAAGTGGGAAAATGGATTTTTCAAACAGTTAAAAAGCCTGACGCTGTAAAAAACAAAGTCATCATTTCAGTCATGGTATCCTGATAGCCCATTTGAGTTTCATCAAATTGCTTTCACCAAATCATATGTATTTTTTGCACATATCTTAGCTCTCTCAACACAGAATAAAATAGTCATTCACACTTCTATCCCAAATGCCACCTTAACCTCTAAAGACTGGGGAGAAACTGAGCAGAATTGAAACAGTTGAAATAGCCATCCTGAGGGTGAGAGAATTTCAGATTCCAGACCATAGGAAAAGACTGAAATTAGCACCGAAGAGAAGGACCTGTATTCAAATACCTCACTGAAATGAAGTCAGACGTGGGAGCAGGACTGGAAGTAGAATGTGGGACCCAGAAACCCAGAGGAAATTTTGCCATGTGGACGTTGTTTAAAAATCAACGCTGAGGATGAACCTACATCAATGGGTGGGCGGAGGGAGGTAAAGAGATTATTTCCGGACATTCCAGAGGGAATTAATCTAATGAAGCCTGTGGGAGTCCCTCTAGGCAGTCTTCCCCACCGCAGAAACCTGATCAGGGCGGAGCTTCAGGGATCCTTTAAAAGGCTGCTCAGAAGCCACGTTCACTCTGCCTGGAGGCCTCTGACGTTGGCTGGACTGTGGGAAACTCGGAAAGTTACCACAGGCGTCCGCCACTGAGCCCAGACAACAGAGAAGCCCTGACCCAACGAGCACTGATGAGACGAATTATACAATCACCAGGTGGGCACACACCTGCAGCAGGATGAGTTCTTCTTTCCTTAAAAAATAAACATAATAATTTAATTTAACTGTCAGCTGGCTTAAGACTTTTCTAAGAAAATGTAATTTTTCTAATTAATTAAAATGATGTTACTTTTAGTTTACTCTTGAGCTATAAAATTTTAATGTTGTTTTGACAGTTACAGATTTGCATAATTATTTTTTTATTTTTTATTCCTTATCAATACAAATTTGATACCTAGAGGGAAAGTTCTAGATTTTCTATAGTTTATTTTGGCATGAAACATAAAACTTAATTGGAAAACCTTGTTTTAGAACAGTAAAAGTGACAGAGGCTTAAAAATGAAGAAAAGTTAACTGAATAAAATTGTAAATATTGCATAATCCTCATTTGATCCTTAACATTTGAAGGGAGAAGCAATCTACATAGCTCATAAGAAGGCATTCACTCCTCCACACCCCAAATAATTATCGATTAGTCATTTACTGCAGGTTTAAGATTCATTCATAAAATATACCGGTGTGGAGTGCATGCCTCCCTAGATTGTTTCATTTATTTCCAGCTTGTACCTTCTGCATGGGCACCCGAGTGCACTTAGAAGGTGGCCCCTCTCGAGGCACTAGAGATCAACAGTCCTTTCCTTTTAAAACAGTTCTCTTTTCATTTCATTTTTTTGCTCTCCTTCCCCAGGGCCATTTTCTTACATTGACCCAGGAGTAGCCAGTTGTCACTGTATTTAAGACAGGCCCTGGTGAGATTTGGCAAAAGGCAGGATAGAATGAAAGGCAACAGGATGATTTTGAAGAGTGATAATGTAGCATATGATCGGTAAACATAAATTTCACTTCAGAGGTAGACAATTTTTCATTTCTTTTGTTAAGGCGAGTGAGTTACATGAGGAACATATATCAAGTGGATTGTGATTTTCTCATTCTTTTCTTGTCTTTCTCCTCAGAAATACTGAATTGCATAGAGTGCAAAACTTCTAAAAGAGCTCAACTGCTGTCTTAAGAGTGAAAATACTTGAGTCTGCTGTGGTGTCTGCACAACTGGGACCTTGTAAGTGGCCCAAAGTCCTGGAAATGGCATCAACTAATGGCCAAGACCAATGGCCCAAAGAAGACATTGCAGTCTTACTGGACCGCCTAGAGAATAATCTCCCATCCAATGACAGCCACACATTCAGAACAACCCAGTCACATATGGACTGGGAAAGAGTAGCTTTTAAAGATTATTCTGGAGAAATGTGCAAACTCAAATGGTTAGAAATTTCTAACAAGATAAGGAAGTTTCGCACTTTGACAGAATTAGTCCTGGAAGCTAAGGAACATCTTAGAAATCCTTACAAAACAAAAAAGCTCAAGGCTCACCCCCGACTTACCCACAAAGCCCCTGAGTGCTTACCTCCGCTTCTTCACCGAGAAGAGGGCTCAGTACTCCCACATGTACCCTGAGCTGAACAACCAGGAGCTGACCAAGGTCCTGTCTAAGAAATACAAAGAACTCCCCAAGCAGATGAAGCTGAAATATATTCAAGATTTCCAGAAGGAGAAACAGGAGTTTGAGAAGAAACTGGCTCAGTTTAGGAAAGACCACCCTGACCTTGTCCAGAACTCTAAGACATCCGTTGCCCCCAAGGGGAGCCCAACCAAAGCCCAAGAGACGCTTCAGGAAAATGTGGAAGAAGTGCAATCCCCCTCAGAAAACGATTTTCCTGACGTGATGAAATTCCATGGAGAGCCCAAGAAGCCCCCAATGAACGAATACCACAAGTTCCACCAGGATTTGTGGTCAAGTAGGGAGCTGCGCGACCTGCCCCTGAGGGAGCGCATGGTGGAGATTGGCAGACGCTGGCAGCGCATCCCGCAGAGCCAGAAGCAGCATTACAAGAAGCAGGCCGAGGAGCTGCAGGAACAGTACAAGGTGAACATGCATCGCTGGCTCAAGACTCTGTCTCCTGAAGAATGCGCTGCTTACAGAGAGAGGACCTATACTAAGCGTAAGAATGTGAACATGAATGAAGGCCCGGACCCCAAGATCATCAGGACAGACATGCACTGTCCCTCAGCAAAGACTCTGCAAGAAGGACTGCCACAGGAGCAGGGGCTTGGGGCTCCAGAAACAGAATCTCTAGGGACTAGTGGGGTCCATTGCCATGCCTCACAGAGATCGGAAGAAAATAAGGAAGATGGGGAAAAGGCAGAAGGCAGTAGCTCCTAAGACTCCAGCAGAGGGGATGAAGATGAAGTCTCTTGAGTACAGCAGCTGCAGCTCATCTTCCTCAGGGATCACCTCTGACTCAGGCTCCAATTGAGCTTTGTTCATTTCTGAAATGGTAGGACAGAGAACTTCCCAACAAAAGTCCATGACATTTATGTCATATTGAAGGTCTTCCTTTCCCTTTTCATTTCTTTGCTTCTTCCCTCATTTGTCCTACTCCTCAATACAGAGTAGAACAGGTTGGGAAGAAGGAACATTGAAACAGCTCTGTTATTTCAGGTTCATAAGCGTGGGAGGAGAGGGTCCTGCTGGGAGAAGAAATATGTTATGAGCATGTAGTGGGTCCCCCTATACCATCTTTACCACTCCCCCAGGAACTCCTTGTAATGAAGGCTCTTGAAACAAATAGATGATTGGTCTGTGGAGGTCACACTGCATTAGACTG